GTTAATCCGATAATAAATATGGCAGTTAGAGTCCTGCTAAGAGTAACATGTCGCCGGCTGAGGCGGGATCGGCCGACGCGGGAAACGCAGCAGTCACAATTTTGTGTTTACACGTTCATATTTCAATTGTTTACCAACCTATTTTCAGAATTCTTTCGCCAAAAGATTGCCTGTACATTTCTTAGTCTTCTCACAAAATTTGACGCGAATCGAACGGAATCAGCGGTAAGGAGCGCGATGTAAAGACGGAACCGTTCCGTTCCGTCCCGGCACAGTCTACAATTCAGGCGGCGCGTAGCGGTCGGCGCCGGCTGCCGAGTCGCGGCGCGACAGGATGTTCACTTTACACCGCTATTACTAGAACAGTTGTGAACCGATTTTCTTATTGCTTGCACGATGAGATGTGCAATTCAATTCTGGACAGGTAGCCATAAGTAATTTCGCATCAATATTATGAGATATTGGCGAAAAACAGGAGGGGTGGGGCGAAATTCACTCTTCCCCCTCCACTGCGTGTGCTAACATACGTTTGCATATGTGCCATTTTCTTCAAAACCTATGAATGGCCCACTCTAATTTTTTCACAGCTTGTTAAGAATATAGTAGGCAATAAAATATATGAAAATGAGCCAAATCGAAGGTGGCGTGTTTTTTGCTATTTCAATTTTTGTGCTTCAGAACAGAGTTAAGCAAATTTCAAGGTCATATATTTAAGTCGATGCCATTCTAAACAAATGCTTAAGAAACTACCTAAACAGTAAGGTTTATTTCATTCAAATCAAACAAGTACAACCAAAGTTATGGTCGTTCAAAAATATAAAGATGCAACATTTTGTAAAAATTTGATGCCCTATATTTAGAAGACCTGTGGTCAGAATGTGCAAAAAACATCAATGTAATGTCCGGGGCGACACAGGAACTCGCTCACAAATTTATAATGAAATCGCTGATGGTAAGGTGCAAAACAGCCGGTTTTTGTTCGATTTGACGTGGAATGCCCCACACGCAACACTCTGCCCGGAGCACCGACTGTCAACACACGCAACACTCGGCCGACGGAGAGCCGTCCCGATCAATCAGGCATCACCAATAACATTCAACTACCCACGATGGTCTGGCAAAATCGTTTCCTTTTTAAAATTCAATAATAGCCGTAGCTAAAAATGGTCAGTGATTGATCTGCAATCATATTCAGTTGTCATAATCAGTAATTACTTGATGTAATAATTCTTGGCAAATACCTACGTGTGGGACTTAGGTAGGTACCTATCCCATCAAGTTTACCCCAAGTCCATAATACCTATTTTTAGATATCGCTACGCTTCCTTTTTCGTTGCCCATGCAATATTTAAATATTGTTTCTATTTCTACTTCATTAGGCTATCTATCACTTCAATTGAATAAGCTACCAAGCTCCTGCTGAGGCATCTCCTGACTGCTACAACTATCCAATCATTTCATATAAAAATGGCAAAAACGTTTCCGCTAAAACATCTACCTATTTTTCTGACTTTTGCGTGAATATTTCATGGATTTTAAGTAACAGCTGCCCCAACACCGATTGCCGATTGTTGCCGCATCAGGTGCCGCTGTGCCGTCATCTTCCCGTCCCAGTAAAGCATAGATAGGTATTATCCAATATCGGAGCCTCACGTCCTGACGCGTGTCTGCACAAAAAAAGAAGAAAGCAGGGGCACAGCCAGGAAAAAAAATTCGAAGGGGGCTTGAATTGGTGAGGGCGCCAATTTTGGCTCAGGAGGGCGCCAATTTCGCATCTTAGCCCGTAAAAAGCTATAAAATTGTAAGCCTAAGCGCCAGTGCTGCATGGCGTACCGTTATGGCTTACCGTCGAGGGCGACTAGAGTGTTGAAAGGCGCCTTCAGCGCCCGGAAATGATCATGGAAGGAGCCATCCAGGGCGCTGAAGGCGCCCTGGATAGCGTCTTCACATAGGGCGCCTGCTAGATTTGGGAGGGGCTTAAGCCCAGTGTGCCCCCCTTGGCTGCGCCCCTGGAAGAAATAGATTAATTTTCACGATGTAAGCCATGCAGAATGGTTATGCCATATGTACTGCTGCACAGTGCTCAGTGTTCATTACCTTCATGCAATTTCTAAATTCTTTCGTTACATTTAGCTGTGCTTTCCGTCTGTCATGGTAACCCATGGAAAGGGATGAAAGAAATTTAATGGAAATGGAATCGTAATCACGAATCAGATATAAAAATGGTTTTGCTTTTTACAAATTGATTCATAACAGCATAAATACAGACCTCAATGATCCCCCGACATTATGTGCTAATCAAGGTGCTAATTTACCAGTCTAAATAACGAGTGTAACGGTTCTGCCAGTCATTACCGTGAGAAGCCCCCGTTCCGTTGCCCTGATCACGCCTCTGGGTGGTGTGTTGATTAGCACGTGGCACCGGTCTGCTCGTCCCGCCCCCGGTCGAACAGGCCACTGTTGGCGCCATTCGGCTCGCGGACGCACCTGGCATTTTAATTACAGCGACATTGACAGGCGACCTCCGGCGCTATATAAGGCCGCCGACGGATCCAGAGCGACATTCTCCCCAAAAGCTCGATACCATCGACACCATGCTGTCTCTGGTAAGGCGACTCTCTCAATAACGGCATGCGGGTGTTCTGGCGGGATCTTTGCTGTGACCTTGTGCGATTTTTCGTTTGCAATTTCCTGGTTATGTTTCATATTTCATTAGAAGTGCTTTCAAATCGTGGTATAGTCAGGGTAGCATAAATATGTGAAGTGTCTGTCAGCAGTTCTTTGAAAGACTATTTCCTTCCTGATTTGTTATGAAGTAGGTACAAGATAAGTAACTCATTTGTCATTCTTTTTTATTTTCATTTATTCATTGTTGTAAACTTTTTGTTTTTGTTTTATCATTAAATTATCGAGAAAAAAAGTCATTCATAATTAGGTACAAAGTAATCAAAATATCTGTTTAATGAGTGTTCCGCGCAGTGCCGTGTCGCATGTCAAATTAGTGGCTATCTGCATTTAAATCTTAACATTTGGTCTTTTTCAAACACGGACTAACAAAAAAGATATGTAAATCTAAATCAGCGGCTAGGCTGAGGTGCGACCGTTTTTCTTTGTGGAACATAAAGAGATAGGTGAATATTTCCTTTTTAATTGTTTTATTGAAAATGAAAAACGTATGTCAGAAGCGGTGCGACCGTCTGTGCTAATTACGCAAATCGTTCCCTTGCAGTCTGTGCTCGTTGCGCTAACCGTTCTACTCTGTCTCGCAGTCTGTGGTTGTGCTAACCGTTCTACTCTCTCTCGCAGTCTGTGCTGTCTGTGCAGTCTGTGCTCGTTATGCTAACCGTTCTACTCCGTCTCGCAGTCTGTGCTGTCTGTGCAGTCTATGCTCGTTACGCTAACCGTTCCTCTCTGTCTCACAGTCTGTGGTTGTGCTAACCGTTCTACTCCGTCTCGCAGTCGGTGCTGTCTGTGCAGTCTGTGCTCGTTATGCTAACCGCTCCTCCCTGTCTCGCAGTCTGTGCTGGTTGCCCTGGTGGCTGTCTGCTCGGCTCAGCCGGTCGAGTACCCGGAGGGCGTCAGCCCTGCCGCTTGCCCGAACTACCCGTACTGCGGCACTGATGCCAACACTCTGGCCGCCATCCAGCTGGCCAGCCTGGCGCCGTCCGTGCGTCAGTACCCTGCTGGAGTCAGCGCCGCTGCCTGCCCCAACTACCCTGACTGTGGCTCCAACAGCGCCATCGTCAGCCCCGCTGGAGTGCCCCTGACCCGTCAGTACCCTGCTGGCGTCAGCGCGGCGGCCTGCCCCAACTACCCTGACTGTGGCTCCAACAGCGCCATCGTCAGCCCCGCTGGAGTGCCCCTGACCCGTCAGTACCCTGCTGGCGTCAGCGCGGCGGCCTGCCCCAACTACCCTGACTGTGGCTCCAACAGCGCCATCGTCAGCCCCGCTGGAGTGCCCCTGACCCGTCAGTACCCTGCTGGCGTCAGCGCGGCGGCCTGTCCCAACTACCCTCACTGCTAGTTGTGCTGGTGCGGTGTTGGCAGCAGAGCTGTGAGCCAGGGTGTCTTCAGCGGTCAGTCAGAGGGCAGTTTGCCAGTCAGTCAGTCATTCAGTCATTCAGTCAGTCAGAGACGCCCGGAGCTGTGGCCACTGGCCGGTCCGTAGACCGGAGCTGTGGTCGCTGGCCGGAAAGCAAAGAGCATTGGGAGAATATTCATCATCAAAGTGTCGTGAGATGTTGTAATGTGTTGCGGAGTTTCCGTGGCCCTGAGTGAGTCCGTGGAGCCCGCTAGCACCACATAACTCACGAATGTAAGTCACTGTCACATTTCTGTGATCGGTTCGGGACCAGGTGAAGTGCCTTCCCGGTCCGTGTCTTACGCAGTAGTCGATATTTTGTTGTAATAAAATACGAAGTCATTCACACTGGATTTTGAGATTATACTTTTTAGGCAATATCATGCCGCGCGGTTCTGGGGTGACCAGTGAACAGCATTACAACACCTACTTTACTTAAGTTCTTAAGAACTAGTAGAAATAAATAGAAGCCTGCATTAATCAGTGCCATATAATTAAAGTGCATTCAATGCAAATCACCTCATAAAATTGAGGATGGGGAGGTATCGACGTTTCAGTGACGTTATGTCACGTCAGTTTGAATAAAATCAGCTACTGCTGGCCTGGGCTTGACTTTGGGCCTAGCCAAAGGCTCAGTTTCACCCGTGCTTAATGGTTTAAGAAGGTTCCGTTTCTTAATTGCTTAAAGAAACCAATAAAGTACTTTCATCTCCAGCATACGATACGAAATCATAAACTGGCTTACTTATGGCCACATGTGTCTGAAAGCGAGCGCGAGAGGCATTTAGCAACAGAAAATTGCGCATAATTATCAAAATATGCATACCTACAACCGTGACTACAATGACACGCAACTAAGTATCGGGTCGAGTAGACGATTCTTGCTTCTTTTTATATGACACAACACTTAGAGAGGGCATGTCGTATTGCACGTATATTATTTACATCGTACACCACACGCATATATGAAATGTATATCGCGGCGATGGTTGGTGTCTGCCCTGCCTACAGTATAAGGTACAACATCCAAGAGTTCAAACACACAACTCAGGCAGCCCGGACAAAAGCGCAGGGAGAGTGACTAGATTATAACTGACGTAGTATGGCACATGTTTCTCGCCCCCGTGGCCGGCGCTCCGTTCCAGCGGCAGATATGATATGTTTGCACCGGCCGCCTGCGCGACGGCACCGCACCTGTGACCTCCTGGCTTCTGTCCGCCGCTGGTGAAAAGGAAATAACTAAACCGTGCCAGCAGCGCCGGCCAATCGCACCGAACGGCTCAGCGCCGGAACGATAAACAATCATCACAAAATATCAACGGTACAAAGTATGGATATCCCACGAGATTCGAACATCTCGAGAGCCCACGTGTGTTTGGCTTATACGAGACGAACTTTGTCCACAAGCAAGGCATATTCACTCAATATCACGAACAAGAAATAGGAAACATACTAAAGCTCAAAGTGTCCTATCGCTCTGGGCCGGCCCGGGGTCGGCCGGCACGCCGCGCCCGATATCGTCTTGTGCGCCGTCGCAGTCTCCGGCCCGGTGCGCGCCGCAGCACTGGTCGGCGGCCCATCCACAGTCCGCCGCCGCCGCCGCTGCCGCCGCACTCACTCGGCACTAGTATCATTTGGACGCCAATGAGGCGTATGGCTGCGCACCGCCGGCCGCCGACAGCGCGAACGCGTTCATCGTCGCGAACGGAGAGGACATGATACCTCCCATGCCTGTGAAGGAGATGGCATTACGTCAGCGTAACACGTAAGAAAACGTGAACACTGACAGTTACTATCAGCACCAGCCGCTTACAGACGACCATGGCTTCATTCATTCAACAAAAGTCTTCACTGTGAGGTGATGCCCTAGCAGCACTGAAGTAATCGATAAATCGTAAACACGAGTAACCAACTCCCTCAATTTGACCTGAACTAGCCTGCGTTAACTGCGCGCGGTTTGCACTCATCCCCGCCCAACCCACCCTGACCTGACCTGTGCCCGCCCACCCTGCTCAGTCTGCCCTGCCCTTTCCACCCGTCCTCTCCCAGTGAGCTGACCTGACGTACCCATGTTGGAGAACTGCGCCGCCGCCGAGCCGTAGCCGTTCATATAGGAGGCGTGGGTGTTTGTGTTGGGTGTGGGCGTGCCCGAGTAGCCGCGCGGGGAGGCACTGCTGCTCTGGCCACGAGCGTACTCCTCTGTGAACGAGGTACAGCACTGGTCAGTGGTCAGTGATCGTACTCCTCTGTGAACCGGGCACAGCACTGGTCAGTGATCGTACTCCTGTGGGGACGGGGTGGAGCAGGCTGCAGGGGTCATCGAATGTACCTACTACACTATGCAGGAGTCCTTGGAAGTATTTAGTAGTACTCGTAACATTTTGGTCAACGGTTGTACTCTTCTGACTTCTGAGTACGGATACATAAGATGTAAAAGCGATAACTTTTTAATCCAGCAAGGGCACCCCTCTGCTGACCAGGGTGCCACGGTTGTCACCGAGTATGCACCCTTCAAAGCCAGGGTGCCACAGTTGCCGTATGCACCCCTCTGGGTGCGGGGTGCCGGAGATGGACCCACCTTCGGACCACTGTCCGTTGGCGGCGTCCGCCTGTACGCTGACGGCCAGCTGCCCGGCGTACGAGTTGAACCCGGACATGGGCGACGGCTGGTTCATGGCCGGGGAGCGCGGCGCCGGCAGCGACAGCTGATTGTTCCGAGGCATACTGGAACGTAAAGGGGGAGGGGGTCAGTCGGTGGGTTAGGGGTGGGATAGCTATGCGGGGTAAGAGGACCATCAAGGTGGCACCCCATGGACGAGATCGGAGTGGTGAACCTTGCGTTGACTCAAAGCTACAGGACGTTGATGAACCGATCCATTAGCACCTAAAAGTCTCCGGATGTCGTTGAGAAGTAGATATGTAATCTACACAAAAGCGTCACACTGGCTCCCACCATCAGCAAAAGCAGAGGTGGCGCCACCTACAGAGGCATGTAAGTACTCACAGAGGCACTTTGTGAGGTCTCAGTGGCGCCACCTAGAGAGGTCCCTGTGGCGCCCTGTGAGGCCCCGGTGGCGCCCTCTGTGGCTCTCCCGTCCACCCCGTGGCTGTGACCGTTACCTGTATAGCGCCTCGGCCAGGTCAGCAGCTCGCTTCAGTATGATCTCCTTGGGCAGCCGCTCCGGATCGCCGGGGTGACGCGGCACCAGCTTCTGCAGCCGCTGGAAGCCGTAGTCGATGGTCGGCTCCGTCAGAGCTGCAAGAAAAACGGCGGAGGTGTCTCAGAATGGGACTGGCTGAGGAGCAGCACTACGGAACGGAGTAGGCTGAGCGGCGGTGTCACGGAACGGAGTGGACTGAACACTGAACAGCGGCTCTCTGCCGGCGTTACAACACGGAACGGGCCGGGCAGCGGCGTTACAGCACGGGATGGGCGGGGCAGTGATGATACAGCATACGATGGCCTAGGATGGCCATCAATTGTCACGGAACGGAACAAACTAAGTGGTGGCACGCAAGAGACTGAGCATAGACCTGTGAGTGTGTATGCTATGCAGAGGTCTATAAGTAGTGTTACACTTTAAAAACTGTGATAATTTAGCAGTTTTGGTAGCTAGATGTACAGTTTTGAGGGCGTAGTGAGCCGTGGTGATCTGGTGACTTACAGACGTAGACGAACCGTCCGGGCGCGCCCCTGCAGAACTGTTTTGATTTGTAGCTCAGCGTCACCTCGACCACGCCGGGGATGTGCCGCGGCGGAGTCTGGACCCGAATGGCGTGAGAGGTGATCAGCTGCCGGCGAGGTCAGTGAGGTCAGATCACCGGGGTCAGGGCAGAGGGGCAGGTCACCAGGGTCAGGGCAGAGGGGCAGGTCAGCGGGGTCAGGTCAACGGGGCAGGTCAGCGGGGTCAGGTCAGTGGGGTCAGGTCAGTGGGGTCAGGGTGTTAGTGGGGTTAGGTTACGAGGTCAGGGCAGCGGAGTCAGGTCAACGAGGTCAAGGCATCGTGGCCAGGTCACCGGGGTCAGGGCAGAGGGGCCAGCAGGTCAGCGGGGTCGGCAAGATCATAAGTCAAAGATCATATCTTCAAAATTTTTAGGTCGGAAAAGACCTCAATGAGCTGGAAATAAATAAGCGATGGAAAAATTCAAAAATTGTAAATATCCTATTCACGTAAAGCTTATAGCAGTACCTATAAAGCATTAGCGAATGCCATAGGCCCCTTACGAGAAGCACTTAACGTCATCAGAATTCGATTCCACTTACCTCGCTCCAGACGAGCATGGTGCCGAAGACGATCTGGAGGCCGTCGAAGAAGTTGTCTCCGATGATGATGACGGTGGAGCCGCCGGTGGTCCAGCCCTCGCTGGGGCTGATGGCCTTTATACAGGGCGTCGCCGGGGGAGACAGAAAACCTGCGGTACCGGACACGGCCGTCAGGTGGCGGCAGGCTGCGTCGGCCTCTCGGGCGACACAGAGTGTGTGGAGGTCCAAGAGTCAACGGCAAGGAGACGCATAAAGACTGCCGACATTATAAAGCAGAGTAACGCGTTGAGCATTGACCACCGTTCCATGCTTATATCCTCAGGATACAGAGATCCTTCTCCTCCACACCGCAACCCCCTCCGGGCTGGACAGGCAACTTTATCTCATGCGGGCTGCTCCCTTGGAGCGGCACCGCTGCTCCCGAGCGAGCGCACCCCGTAGCCGGGTGCAGTGAGTACCTTGGGGCTGGGTGGCCTGTCCTATGGACGGGCTCAGCCCCGGTGACTCACTAGGGTGCCTGCCCAGACCAATGTCTCCCCCTATATATCTTATCATCCTCCCGGCTCTGAAATGGTCTCATTGGACCGAAAGGGCCTAACCCAACAAAACAAACAAATGAGCATTGACTATAACCGACGCTGCTTACAAGCTATTTCATTGAGGGCTATTAATTTTGAAGGTAGGTTCAGTTTGCCTTTCAGGTCATTACTCGAGAAAAAGCAGAAAAAGGACAAAGATAAGTATGATGTAATCCTGCTCTGTGCTGTAGCATACGTTTCCATTTTATTCGGAAAACACTAAAGGACATAAGATCTAATCTACGTAAAAAGCCCAGAGATTGAACATGAAGATGAATACCAATGAGCAGCGTTAACAATACATAAAGGTTAAAACCGGAACAAAGTGTGCCGTCTAACTTGTCAAAAGTTATAAAGGCAGGTCAAGTTGGGAATCCTTGCGATTACCTTGTCATGAAGATACGTATTCATCTCACTTTCTAAAAAAAAATCTGCTAACTTTTATAAAGGAGTGATGCGTAAAAGAAAGCAAGAACGCTTTGCCCTATGTCCTGATATATTCTGCGTATTGACTATTGGTCCCCATGAAGAGACAACAGGAGCTCGCACTAAGCTGCCGCCGTGAGCCCCCGTCCAATGGCAGCACCGGAGACGGCCGGCGCAGCCAGCACCCCAGACAGGTCCCTCTTCGATTCGCCGTCGGCACCCAAGTGTGTTTATTGGCAGGCCAATGGAGACAATGGGAGCGCGCCGGTGAAGCCTGCCAGCCAATGAGCGCGCCGCTGGCTGGTCCCTGGGGCGGCGGCGGCGGCCCCGGGGACCACAGCCCACCACGCCCTCTGGGACCGCCGCGCCTTCGATCGCCTCCGCCGACGGGAGGGAGGGGAGGGAGGGAGACGGCCACCGACCGACGGAGCGACGGAGCTCGGCCATAACACAAGAACAGGGGGTGCGGCAGGGCCGGTCTACAGACTGAGCGCCGCGCGGGGTGGATGGCCGATCTATGTAGAAGTGAGCAATTTTTCCAGCCCCATATCGCTGGAGTAACTGCCTGATGAAAACGCTTCATCAAGGTGACGCGGACCGACCACTATGACCTACGGTATGAAACTTCTACAATAACAAGCCGATGCAGCTCCCAGATGTTATCTTTGATAACACTGTTGAGTTAGAAAGGTTTGACGACAGAACTAACAGAGTTGATGAAATTACAAAACGTAAACGATACTCTAACTAAATGGGCAGGAAACCCAACATGGCAATAAAATGAAGCTCCAAAGTTTGTTAGCACGTCCCACAAACAAATTCATGGTGCTGAAATATATTTTAAATAAATATATTATAAAAAAATATATGCAGATTAATAGATTTCACAAATGACACATTTTCATCATTATTTCATTTTCCTTACTGTTAGTCTAAGCACAAGCCCCAGACCCACCAGGCCTTTGAGCATTCATCACATCTTCAGACGCTTCACACGCTAGCTTTTGAAATAGCTGTGATGTGACTGTAAAATATCTGAATGTGAGCTACCGCTGGGAGTTGGGGATGGCGCGGCGCCGTGCCGTGCCCCCGGGGCCTGTACCCACTCCCCTGTCCCACCGTGTGACCCGCGTGCGAGCGGAAGTGGCGCCGGAGCGGGGTGTCGTGAGGTGACGTTTGGTGTCTCAGCTGTCGGCCTCTCGCCGCGGCCAAATGAGTGGATAAATCACCCCCTCCAGGGACAGCGCGCCGGCCATGAGCCGTTTTTACGGGCCCGGCGCCGGCGGCCGGCACCGTTCGGCGGAACACCGCCCGATGAATGCCGACCCACCGCAATGGATTGTTGCTTTAATGATAGTGCTAACACGCTAACAGCCGCTAAGAATAACATCGATCCATCTTCGCACAAGTTGTGAAATGTCAACACTTGTAATGTTTAACGGCTTCCGTTCACTAATTAGTCGACCACGGTCCATGAAACTAATATGACCACCATTACTGATGTATGGCCCTCCATTAGTGATGTCATTCACAGGAGAATGGCAGCGCATTCCTTCGCGTGCTACCGCGAATTAGTCTGAACACAGACACTCCAAGCTTCTGACCCCAAAAGCCCTGCTCAGCAGTTAGAGGGGGGGGGGGGGTACTCACCGTCGGTAGGGTCCATCCGCTTGGCCCGGCGACCGTGCTTGCTGTTGTTGTGCACGAACATGTTGTCGGAGACGGCGAGCAGAGGCCCTGACACGTCCACCGTGGGGCCAATCACCACCTGCCGCGCACAGAGGAAGGTCGCGTGTAGTTATCTCTCGGGGCACAACGCACATTTTTTGGAAATAAATAATACACATAGTCATGCCTTTGATAGATACGTCGGCCGTAACAGCATGTTAAGAATTTTGAGGGTTTATAATGCCACTTATGCAAATTGAGGGTTTGTGAAAAGAAGTAAAATTAGATAAAAAATAACATAAGTAATGAGCATTGTTCAACAAGAGAACCTTACAGTTAGATTTGCATACAACATAAGTCACCGACCGACCGACCTCACTTTTTGTGTGTCAGTTTTGTCACAAGGTCAGCTGCCCTCAGCTGGGCATCTGGCGATGGCCTTCAATGCTAACGGAAACAGGCGGCTTGGACACCCGTCCGTCGCCCTTCGCTCTGTTTTAAGAACATTAACTTTTTCAGAGAACTGGTAAATGAGATGTGAAACTGAGCCCAGCGGCCGTCAGCGCCATCGTCGAGCCGTGTGTTATGGTTTGGGCTGCAGCAACTATTTGACAGCATTGCTAACTGCTCGTCATTTTGGCGTGTTTAATTTCCGATCTGAAGTGTTTATTTACGTGTCAGGCGGCTGAGCCGCCCTCCATGTCTCGTGGGGCGGGCCCGGGCCCGGTCAGAGGCGGCCGAGGGCTCGGGGGACGCAGTCAGGTACAGTATCGGTCACAAGTGGTCATCGACTCACACCGCGTCACAATCACAGCTGAGTGGGTGGAATCCAGCCTGATAGCATCTGTTGGAAATAACCATCAGCAAAAGCCAAAAAAAAGAAGAATTGAATGGCAGCCTATGTAGTAATCTTACCTGGAACCGGCGCATGTCCCGTGGGTTGCCGGCGTTCTTGAGACAGTTTTGATTGCATTTCAGGAAGAACTTCAAGAAAAATCTGGGAACAAAAGAGCCATGTGTTAGCCTGTGGGAGGCAATGGGACTAGCTCCTATCTACGGGCAGTGGTGAGTGATTGGTAGTATTCATTGACGTTGTTTGATTACATTTACTTCACAGTGCTGCAGACACTTTAGTATAACGGTCTCGTCAATCCTGTCGCACAATTCTCTCGATGCCGATTGACACTTGCATTGGGCCATGTAAGTGGTAGTCATATGTCAGCAGCTGCCTAGGTGTGCCGCTGGGTTATCGTTTAGCTATTGGGCTCTTCGATGCAGCAATAAGAGGCAAACGACAATGTCACTTGAGGCGGGCCCCGAGTACCTATGTAGGTCACGCCAGTAGCCCATCCTCAAGCTTTTCTCCTCAGTGCTTAGTTGAAGGGAGTATTTAAAATAATAGATGTCTGTATTAAATGATAATTAAGAATGATACTTCACAAAGGCTTTTAGACGATGCCGAACATTTAACTCAAAATATGAAAAGAACATCCGCCATCTCCTGGCTGTCTATACCCGCATGTTGTGCCAATCAAACTTAAGTTCTGGCAGCAATTTAGAACTTTAAACTTGATTGTGACATCTAATTCTTTTGGAAATAGCCCAATTCGAACAATTCCAGTGACTAAATTACGGTGTCGCTAACAGCGTCAACAGTCGAACAAACTGAAATCACCAATTCGCCTACCAAAATAACAGTAACACGCAATACGCGAAAGGCGTCACGGAAAGTCCACCCATCAGAAAAACATGCTCAATAATATCGTAAACTGCACTCAAGACAGTGACAACGCTGAACTTATTTGACTATCAACACAACCTGTTTCGTGATTCACGCTGCACGTATCATTTTCATCACTTATGCCAACCGTCTTATTTAAATTCGAAATAGGCAAACTATATTAACAGAGAAGTACAGGTCTCGCGGGTTTAAGCGGTAGGTTTTGCACCTAGAAAATTTAGTGTACTTCAGGCTATCTCTTCGTCGTCTTAAGCTTTTAAGTGTTGAAGATGCGATCGACTTGTTGGTTCACAAGCCGGCCATGATCGTGTAAAATGGTTTCATTGTGGATCGATTAGTTTCTGAGATATAACCGGAAATGTAGAACTGCAAAACCTACCGCTTAACTCGCGAGAGCCGTACCAAATGAGCGGGTTATTTCTGAAAATGTATAAAAAGTAACTGTTTTTCTGTTTATTTTTAATTCCATAGAGTGAAGGTCTATACACTGAAAAGTGCTTTTTAGAACGTTTTGCGAATAATTATATGAACGCAGGATAGGACCTTCAGACTACAGCTGTAAAACATTGATCACAATGCCATAAAAAAGACGACGAAAATAGCGTTGGCTCCACTGTGTGAAAACATATAGCTTGTTCAATTATGCTTTCTCGTGTCCACTTGAATAATACAAGGAAAATATTAGAAGTTGGGAAGAAGTTTTCAATATAACCAGCATGAAGTTGAATTGTGCTATCAAAAGATGTCAGGTCGCCTGTCGCCATTTCTTACGCCCATCACTCCTTGCGATCTCATCCAGCACGAGACTTTCGTGGCAGCGAACTAATGGGAGATAACACGGAACTTTGGCCGCCAGGTGTCACTGTAGGCGTTCCTGCTGATTCAATTTGCGTCGGTGCCGTTCGGAGCCGTGCCGTGCGGTGAAAGTGGGTGAGATATTGAGGAAGTAGTGAGTCACATGTGGCATAAGACCTAAATTTGGAAGAAAATGGCTCAGTGTTGTGTCTATGGCTGCTCGGAGAATGGTGGCGTTGTATTTCCTCGCGACAAGAGGCCGAGGAAGATATGGCTCAGGCTGCAATTGCAATGGATTTCATCCCACCAAACACTTGGTTGTGTGTCGGAAGTATTTCACCGACGATGATTTTTTGGAATATACTGCCAACGGTAAGTTTTTATGGTCATGCGCAGCTTTGTATATAAGATGCACCCTATCATTCGCCACCCGGGGAACTGGAAAGTCACCTACCGGCTACCACCATTAGTATCAAACGAAAAATGGGTCTGCTTTTCATGGAATGTTCATGTCCTAAATACTACAGAGGTCAACAATCATTTATTATAATTGTACTACTACCTTTATTTGTACAAGCTATTGCATGCTTCATAGACATCTCACATCAACATCATAGGACATAGGTGAGGTACCTACGTATACTTCATGATCCATCAAAGTTTAAGGCAAGAAAACACACTTCACAATGCTATAAACAATGACATGCATTGTCAGGCAAGGGCCAGACAACAGCAGAAGAGGCTGAAGAAGGGGGTTATTCCATCTGTTACTCAGGGCAAAGCACCAGCTTCAACTGCTTCAGCAATTCGTAGGCAGGCTAGGCGCAAGGAAAAGGAACATGGCCAGCTGTTGGACAGCTTGGTCAGTGCAAACAACTACAGAGCTTAGATGCTGTCCTTTACCTGCAGATAAGATGAATAGGTTTGTGCCTAGTGGCACTATTTATCTATAACTGTTTATCGTTATTGACATTTGAGCAATGGGCAGACACTGTCAGATCCAGACAGGATAGGAGATTCTCGGTTTTGTGATCTGGATGGCAGATGTAAGGGGATCACTTCTCAAAGTTTGTTTTTTGAAAGGTTTTTTATCCCACAACTCACAGACAAGTCACAGAAGTATACTTAACTGGGCAAATTGTATGCTCAATCTAAAGTGTTTTCATCTTTTGGCAGATGTTAATTGCTCAGAACCAACCAGTGGTAATAAAAGACGTGCATAAAGTTTCTGATAATGGTCTATCTCATGCCCTGTCAGGCTGTATACAGTATGTATGAAGTCGTTAATACAAATTTTATTGTTTTCACAGGTACTGAATGGGCTCAACAGGCAGATGAAATGGAGAAGAGTGCTCCACCTCCACCTGACGTTGCTACTTATGAGGAGTGCAACACTGAAGGGGGGTGTGCTGCACCACCGCGGGGCTATTTGATGGTGCTGTCAATATCAGCACCAAGGTTCAATGTCCAAGATCTGTTAGCCTGTCGTGATGTACATGTCATAACTGCAGCGTTCCTTAAAGGGAAGTCCCAGCTCTCTCCCGCTGAATGCACTCAGTCGCTCCCTATCACGAGGGATCATATCCATGTCGGGCGTATGATTGGTCTGATCAAGACTTACTCGTTTCTTAGGGGGCAAATCGATGCCGGTTACGTACCTGTTCTTTCAGACATATTCCGTTCTGTGTGTCTCGTCTGTAGCCTGCAGAAATCGCTCATGCAGGCGGCGGGGATGTGCGCGCTCTGGGACGTTAGCATTAGCAGACTGAGCTTCACCGTCTCATGTTTATTGTACATGCCTACATTTGTGAATGGTGCATTGGAGGGCTACCTATGTATGCTCGTGCACAGTGCATTGCTTGAAAGTTGTAAGCTGTATGTTATTTGGTAATCGGTGGTATTGAATGCTTTTGAGTTTTGGAGCTTGCCTTGTCGAAGTGGTTTTGCTAGAACTCTGCTATGTTTCGATGTCAGTTCAATACACCGCTGTTGACTATCATACACTGCTTCAAAAGCCATGTGTTGTATTCGCCATCGCGCAGTGACGCTCATAAGTCATAAGTTCATTGGCATGAATAGAAACGAACGAGTTCTGTCGGCAGCTGGTTACAGGATACGGGCATGGTCTAAACTAAAGGAACTCCTACAGGGTGTAACGAAATTATCCGCACATCTATTTTTCGCCATATCATATCTGTTCGCATAGTTTCTTCTCTGACGTTAGAAGCGAGAATATTGGATGAATGCGTGCCTCTGGTATCGGCTCTCGCCGGCAGTGACCTGACCTTGCGATGTGACTCTTGCTCTGAGTAAGAGTCGAGTTACGGAAGGGTTCATTTGGTAGTTTTCTATCAAATGATTGAAAGATTTGGGTTCATTTGATGGCATGGCGGCATGAGCCTGAAGCTGCACTGCCAGCAGCTGGACATCAGCAGCAGCCAGTTGCACATCAGCCTGAGGCGCGATAATTGCCGGGACTTGGGTGACGGACGCAGCCCGGGCCGTGTTCCACGGAGCGCTGCCTTGATTTCATACTTGTCACACACTACCCCTATATCTCCAGCAGTATGGTAGTGTGCAACAAGTATGAAACCAAAAGCGCCAACAGCGTAGGCAGCGCTCCGTGATACCCGGCCCCGGCCGTGACAGCAAATGGATCGGCAGTAACGCCCTTGCTGCCACCTGGTGGCCATGATTGAAAGCTTTGCTCTGTGCTCTCCCATTCGATACTCGATGCCTTCTCCTCGACAAATATCTAGCGTGGGCCGTAAAAGCCGTTAGGCTGGCCGGCCACAGATTGAGTTCTCTCGAACACAGATAGACGTCAGCCGTAGTAAATTGGCGCTGTTAAATGTCACGATTATCTCGGGTGGTATTGATGGTCATCTCATCAGCCGGAAATCCAGTATAAACATCGGCCTGGCCGGGCCAGACGGTAGACAGTGGAACTGGACACTTCATTGTCTGCTCTCCATAAATATGGCTCCCGTCTCGGGCTGACGATCTCCGGCTCAACCTGTCGCTGCAATGAGGTCCATCGACAGCGGCACCGGGTGACCAGAGCGGGCGCTCGGCAGGATATGTAAGAATGGAAGGAGAGGGGAGATTGAGAAATTTGAGATTAAGGACTGATTACACCGGTTAAGCAGAATAAAAATAGTATTCTAATAAACACTACAGTAACTAATCGAGATATTGGAGCCGAATATCGTTCCTTCCTGAAAAAGAATGGCGTGCCTACTAATCGAACTATAGCACATCTTGTGCACCTACCCTTCCCGTTTCTAAAGAGAGCAGCGTGATATCGACCCCAAGAACATCCCTTCCTCCAAGAACAGCAGCTCTTAGAACAGCTCTTCTGAGTTCTTTCAGAAGGTGTTCACAGCCCGTCATCCCATCTATCCGCGTCGGTGCTGTCCGGTGTCGTCGACCACAACTTAGCGAGGCGGCCGGCCGGTCCG